AGGGAGCCTTTGAGAAATTTACATACACTACCAGTCAAAAGTTTGGACACACCTACTCATTCAAGGGTTTTTCTTTATTTTTACATTGTAGAATAATAGTGAAGACATCAAAACTATGAAATAACACATATGGAATCATGTAGTAACCAAATAAGTGTTAAACAAATCAAAATATATTTTATATTTGAGATTCTTCAAATAGCCACCCTTTGCCTTGATGACAGCTTTGCACACTCTTGGCATTCTCTCAACCAGCTTCATGAGGTAGTCACCTGGAATGCATTTCAATTAACAGGTGTGCCTTCTTAAAAGTGAATTTGTGGAATTTCTTTCCTCCTTAATGCGTTTGAGCCAATCAGTTGTGCTGTGACAAGGTGGGGGGGGGGGGGGGGTTCAAGTCAGAAACACAGAGTTCAAGTCACAGACACATCTCAACATCAACTGTTCAGAGGGGACTGTGTGAATCAGGCCTTCATGGTCAAATTGCTGCAAAGATACCACTACTAAAGGACACCAATAAGAAGAAGAGACCTGCTTGGGCCAAGAAACACGAGCAATGGACATTAGACCGGTGGAAATTTGTCCTTTGGTCTGGAGTCCAAATCTGAGATTTTTGGTTCCAACCGCCGTGTCTTTGTGAGATGCGGTGTGGGTGAACGGATGATCTCTGCAGGTGTAGTTCCCACCGTAAAGTATGGAGGAGGAGGTGTTATGGTGTGGGGGTGCTTTGCTGGTGACACTGTCTGTGATTTATTTAGAATTCAAGGCACACTTAACCAGCATGGCTACCACAGCATTCTGCAGCGATACGCCATCCCATCTGGTTTGGGCTTAGTGGGACTATCATTTGTTTTTCAACAGGACAATGACCCAACACACCTCCAGGCTGTGTAAGGGCTATTTTACCAAGAAGGAGAGTGATGGAGTGCTGCATCAGATGACCTGGCCTCCACAATCTCCCGATCTCAACCCAATTGAGATGGTTTGGGATGAGTCGGACGGCAGAGTGAAGGAAAAGCAGCCAACAAGTGCTCAGCATATGTGGGAACTCCAAGACTGTTGGAAAAGCATTCCAGGTGAAGCTGGTTGAGAGAATGCCAAGAGTGTGCAAAGCTGTCATCAAGGCAAAGGGTGGCTATTTGAAGAATCTCAAATATTACATTTTGATTTGTTTAACACTTTTTTGGTTACTACATGATTCCATATGTGTTATTTCATAGTTTTGATGTCTTCACTATTATTCTACATTGTCAAACATAGTAAAAATAAAGAAAAACCCTTGAATGAGTAGGTGTGTCCAAACTTTTGACTGGTACTGTACATTTAAAAACATTAACGTGTGTGTGTGTGTGTGTCAATCATAGACGTCTATGCTTCACAAGTTTGGACAGCACAGTTCAGTACAGTGAAACACAGTACAGTATAGCAGTGGTTCCCAAACTGTGGGTCGCGGCAGGGGTCCAGGTGGGTCGCGGGATTACATTTTTTCTGCATTGCAATTTTAAAAATGTTTTATATATTTTTCGGGATGGAAAAACACCTTTAGTGTAAACTTAAATGACTAAAACCAAATAGAAAGTATGTAGAAAAGATAATGGACCTATATATATATATTATTTTTTTAAATACCCTATAATCTTTGAGAATTTACAATCAACAAGGTAAAAGCTAGACAATCAGGCCCTCGTTGATTTTGTTATGATAATTTAGCATAAGAACACAGCATTAGCCTGTCAAAATACTTAGAATTGTAGGAAAGTTGCTTAAAAACTGATTTTTTTCTCTCTCATTATGGTAAAATGTATAGAATTGCAGGAAATTGGCTTTAAAAATGCAAAATTGTATTTCAGCTCCATGACAGGATGTGTGGAATTGCAGGAGATTAGCTTTGAAACTGCAACATTTTCTCTCCGCTGCAAGGATGATATTGTTTACTTGTTCTTTGGTCTGTGATGCGATGTGGGTTCGTTTCCCACAGGGGGCCAGTATGAAAAAATTATAAAATAATAATAACATGTATGCATTCACTAACTGTAAGTCGCTCTGGATAAGAGCGTCTGCTAAATGACTAAAATGTAAATGTCTGTGTATGTTTCTTCACCGCTCAACACATATGGTGGGTCGCTACTCAAAAGACACCTCAATTGGTGGGTCACAAAGCAAAAAAGTTTGGGAACCCCTGTAGTAGAGTACAGTACAGTAAAGAAAAGTAAAGTTGAGTATAGTTCCATACAGTAGGCCTACAGTCGAGTAGAGTTCAGTACAGTACAGAACACCAGAGTACAGTATAATGTATTGTACTATACTCTACTGTAATTAACTATAGTTTACTGTACAATACTGTACTCTACTGTACTGAACTCTACTGTGATGTATTGTACTCTACTGTGCTGTACTGTGATGTCCAAACTTGTGAAACATAGACGTCTATGATTGGTTCAGATTTGGTCTGGTCCGGACCAACCAAATGTGGTCTTGTTTGGGGCAGAGCTCATTAGAATAATAGCCAGTGTGTAGAATAATACCCATATTATATTGCATATTTCTACCTGTGTACCTGTTTAGGATACATCACCATGAAGAGAATGACATTCATCCATAATTATGCATTTCTGTGTAGTATAGGGGACCTACAGTGAGGGGAAAAAGTATTTGATCCCCTGCTGATTTTGTACGTTTGCCCACTGACAAAGAAATGATCAGTCTATAATTTTAGGTTTATTTGAACAGTGAGAGACATAATAACAACAAAAAAATCCAGAAAAACGCATGTCAAAAATGTTATAAATTGATTTGCATTTTAATGAGGGAAATAAGTATTTGACCCCCTCTCAATCAGAAAGATTTCTAGCTCCCAGGTGTCTTTTATACAGGTAATGAGCTGAGATTAAGAGCACACTCTTAAAGGGAGTGCTCCTAATCTCAGCTTGTTACCTGTATAAAAGACACCTGTCCACAGAAGCAATCAATCAGATTCCAAACTCTCCACCATGGCCAAGACCAAATAGCTCTCCAAGGATGTCAGGGACAAGATTGTAGACCTACACAAGGCTGGAATGGGCTACAAGACCATCGCCAAGTAGCTTGGTGAGAAGGTGACAACAGTTGGTGCGATTATTATGGAAGAAACACAAAATAACTGTCAATCTCCCTCGGCCTTGGACTCCATGCAAGATCTCACCTCGTGGAGTTGCAATGATCATGAGAACGGTGAGGAATCAGCCCAGAACTACACGGGAGGATCTTGTCAATGATCTCAAGGCAGCTGGGACCATAGTCACCAAGAAAACAATTGGTAACACACTACGCCGTGAAGGACTGAAATCCTGCAGCGCCCGCAAGGTCCCCCTGTTCAAGAAAGCACATATACATGCCCGTCTGAAGTTTGCCAATGAACATCTGAATGATTCAGAGGAGAACTGGGTGAAAGTGTTGTGGTCAGATGAGACCAAAATTGAGCTCTTTGGCATCAACTCAACTCGCCGTGTTTGGAGGTGGAGGAATGCTGCCTATGACCCCAAGAACACCATTCCCACCGTCAAACATGGAGGTGGAAACATTATGCTTTGGGGGTGTTTTTCTGCTAAGGGGACAGGACAACTTTACCACATCAAAGGGACGATGGACGGGGCCATGTACCATCATGGGTGAGAACCTCCTTCCCTCAGCCAGGGCATTGAAAATGGGTCGTTGGGTATTCCAGCATGACAATGACCCAAAACACACGGCCAAGGCAACAAAGGAGTGGCTCAAGAAGAAGCACATTAAGGTCCTGGAGTGGCCTAGCCAGTCTCCAGACCTTAATCCCATAGAAATTCTGTGGAGGGAGCTGAAGGTTCGAGTTGCCAAACGTCACCCTCGAAACCTTAATGACTTGGAGAAGATCTGCAAAGAGGAGTGGGACAAAATCCCTCCTGAGATGTGCGCAAACCTGGTGGCCAACTACAAGAAACGTCTGACCTCTGTGATTGCCAACAAGGGTTTTGCCACCAAGTACTAAGTCATGTTTTGCAGAGGGGTCAAATACTTATTTCCCTCATTAAAATGTGTTTTTCTGGATTTTGTTGTTGTTATTCTGTCTCTCACTATTCAAATAAACCTACCATTAAAATTATAGACGGATAATTTCTTTGTCAGTGGGCAAACATACAAAATCAGCAGGGGATCAAATACTTTTTTCCCTCACTGTATGATGTAATGTGTAAATCCACTTCTTACTGGAGTTCAATAACCAAAATATTTTAGGGAAACTCAAGGTGTTCATGTTCATGCTCATGTTATAGCTGTGGTCCTCTGTAGCTCAGCTGGTAGAGCACGGCGCTTGTAACGCCAAGGTAGTGGGTTCGATCCCCGGGACCACCCATACACAAAAAATGTATGCACGCATGACTGTAAGTCGCTTTGGATAAAAGCGTCTGCTAAATGGCATATTATTATTATTATTATAGCTGACACCCCATTATTTCTGCAGACATCTTTGAATCTTAATTTGGAGCAGATATTTATCATATTTATTTATATATTTATCAACAAAACAAAATCTCAATCACGCTAAGTCGGGGCAGTCTGCACATTTTAAAGTTGGTTTCATGTTAATAGCTTAAGCATTTTAAGCGCTAGAGCTTGCAGAAGAAATTAAATAAGAGTACGAGTGGTCTTGCTTTCAGCAAGCACACCATAGAGTGTTTTTTGTAAGACAATGAAAGCAGTCTGTTAGGTCAGATACAGCCTAACCTAACGAGAAGAAAAAAAACAGTTGGGGTAGGTTATTTTCTGCACTGTTCAACCAATCCAGTAAATGTGGAGGAGGAGTTAAGATGGAGTGTCGACTTGTTAATGTCCAAAAGTGGAAGTCCCGTCTCAGGCTCTCTTTCCATTTCCCCTGAAAACCGGAACGTCCAGTTGTTGTGGACTTGGCAGAGGCTAGATAGAGCCTGGTCCATATTGGAGGCAATAGAGTATTATTGTTGATCCTAGATCTGTTCCTATATAGGCTGTTTCTACTCCGAGCCCCCCAGTAGTGCTGAGAGCCAGTCCGGCAGGTGAGCTGGGTCCTGTAGTAGGTCCTGTAGAGCTGAGGTCAGTTTACACTGGGAGAGGACCACAGCTAGCATCACAGCTCCCCCGGACAGGGTGATCAGCCAGGGGGACAGAAGGACCCGGGGCCTGGGGGGCTCTGGCTCCAGCCTGCAATAGAATAAAAAAATAAAAAATAAGAGATGATATTCTATTGATTCCCAAGGGGAAATGAATCTGCCCTTCTACCCTTTGGGCTACCTACCTGGTTCTGAAGGGCTGGGCTACGCGCTCCCACTGAGTGAGGATTGCCTGTCGGGCCCCGTCCCACTTTCCTGGCCCTCTCAGACGGTACTGGTAAGGGGTGCAGGGCCCCAGCAGCACACGCAGCCCCACACCAGGCTCCCTCAGCAGCAGCCCTAGGATGTTGGGACGAACCCCCACCTGCTCAGCCAGGGAGTCCAGGTATGGTATATAATCCACCTGGAGAGCTGCCTGTCTAGGACACGGGTAACTGAGAGAGAGAAGGGGAGAGGACGGAGGAGAGGGAGAAAGAGAGAGAAGTTGGGAGGAGAGAGAAGGCGTTTGTGACCTCTAGGCCTTAATTTCACGCTGAACAAAAGCCTAGGCCCTAGATTTGGGAATTGACAAGTCTGCAGGTCACAGCAAAGGTAATCACTCATGACAAAGCAAGGCTAATGGCTACTGGTATTGAGGCAGCTCTTCTTCATGTTGTTTACCTCTTCATGTTCCTCTTTGTCTCCATCTCGATTTTGGACAGCATCGTTTTCTGTGGTGGGAGCTGGGTCAACCCTTCAACAAACAACCATGAAGAATTCTAACTTTGCTGTGTTTGCCAGGTGTGTGTATTCAGACAGGTCTGTGTCGTTCCAATGTGTGTGTGTGTTTAGACCTAATCTCTTGTGGACAGACTATGTAAGATAAATGGTATTGTAGTTTGTGAGATTTTCGGGTTTGGGTTGCCAAGATTAGTTTAGACCAGGTATGTGTGTACCTGCGATGACCCTTGCGACCCAGCGGGCCTGCATCTCCACTGCAGGAAAGATGGGTCCTTTAGTCTGGAACAGACCCATGATGGCCAGCGTGGGGCGCTCGAGAGCTGGAGGGAACACCCGTCTGGAATAAAATAACACAACCACTTTTACCTAAAGCAATTTACAGTTAATTATACAGTATGACACCATTTCCCCTCTTGGATCTATCAAGTGTTGATCTATCTTCTGTATCTTAAAGGAGCAAATCCTAACATTCACTTAGGGACAGTTCAAAATTTACTGGGAGGGGAGGGAGGGGATGGGTGGGCTGGTCCAAATCAAAGTGTCATAAAAGAAATGCACCCCCCTCCCCAACATAGAAAATATATTCATATGACCCTCTCCTTGTACTGTAAAATAAATTGCACACCCTCCCCCCTCATACTCATTAACCTCTACGGGATCGGCGTCCCGTGTACGGGACGGTTGAGCTAACGTGCGCTAATGTGATTAGCATGACTGTTGTAAGTAACAGCAAACTTTCCAGGACATAGACATGTCTTATATGGGCAGAAAGCTCAAATTCTTGTTAATCTAACAGCACTGTCCAATTCACAGTAGCTATTACAGTGAAAAACTACCATGCTATTGTTTGAGGAGAGTGCACAACAACAAAAAACTCATCAGGGCAACTGGTTTGATACATTAACCTCTGAAGGTAAATAATGTACTTACATTCAGTAATCTTGCTCTGATTTGTCATCCTAAGGGTCCCAGAGATAAAATGTAGCATAGTTTTGTTTGATAAAATCCATTTTTATATTCAAATGTAGGAACTGGGTTCTACAGTTTGAACCCCTGCTGTCTCTGGCTCCACACCCACCCCGCCCGGCCATCTAGATGTGTGAAAGTTAGTGAATAAGCAAATGATCCATCATGTATGACATTCCTGGAATGTGTAAACTTATATTTTGTACTACCATATCATTGTTGTATGTTCTCTATAGTTATGTATTTGAAAATGTATCAATTCACCAATTCGGCACATTTGGGCAGACAAAATAGTCCAGTATTGCAATGTTTCACTGGATCAATCTGAAACTTTGCACACACACTGCTGCCATCTAGTGTCCAGAATCTAAATTGCACCTAAACTGCAATATTATATTGTGGCCTTTCTATTGCATTTCAAAGATGATGGAACAAAAAAATAAATAGAAAACGCATGTTTTTTTGTTTGTATTATCTTTTACCAGATCTAATGTGTTATATTCTTCTACATTAATTTCACATTTCCACAACCTTCAAAGTGTTTCCTTTCAAATGGTATCAGGAATATGCATATCCTTGCTTCAGGTCCTGAGCTACAGGCAGTTAGATTTGGGTATGTCATTTTAGGCCAAAATTGAAAAAAAAGAGTCTGATCCTTAAGAGGTTAAGCTCAGCGCTAGTTCATACAGGGAACCCAAGTATAGGCTTCAGCGATGCATCAGCTGACGTTGCACTAATCATATTCTACAAACACTTCCTACCTTAATATGGCGGTCTAATAAGCTTATCAGTTTTACTCACTCATTCTCTGCTATCTCTCCTGCTGTTGGTTGCTGGATAGTATGCAGTTGCATTTTCTTGCATGCACCCACCCACCACCCTAGCCTCCACCTGTGTGGTTCTGTGTTTCCTTCCTGCACGGAGATTGGTACAGCGTACCTTGCTCACTGCCTGAAATTATTATTAACTTAACATGATGCATACTCTGGAGGTGAGCTATTGATTGTGATTTTTCTGTAAACTATGAGATAAACAAAGTTAATTACACACATGACAAACAAGGAGTCATAATTAAACATTGGTACATTGCTGTTGCTAGGCAAGAACTTAGTGAATTCCTCTCACTAGGTTTGTGTGTGTGTAAGATGGGCATCTGCCCTGTCATTGGGTCAAATTCTACAGTTGTCTTATGTTATCTGTGACTGCAACCAGACTATGACCCTGTGGCTCTCCTTAGGCCACGTGTCAAACTCATTCCACGGAGGGCCTAGTGGCTGCGGGTTTTCACTCCTCCCTTGTCCTTGATTGATGAATTAAGGTCACTAATTAGTAAAGAACTCCCCACACCTGGTTGTCTAGGGCTTAATTGAAAGGAAAAACCAAAAACCTGCAGACACTAGGCCCTCCATGGAATGAGTTTGACACCCCTGCCTTAGGCATATCCCTGGAACGAGCAAGGGTTGAACAGAGTTCAGGCTAAACCTTTGTCTCTCCTTGGCTATCTTCTTGTCACGCCCTGACTCAGGGGACTCGTATATGTTGAGTCAGGGTGTGTATGTTCTATGTTGTATATTTCTATGTTGATATTCTAGTATGTCTATTTCTATGTTGGCCGGTGTGGTTCCTAATCAGAGGCAGCTGTCGCTCGTTGTCTCTGATTGGGGACCATACTTAGGCAGCCTATTGGCACTAGTGGGTTGTGGGATCTTGTTCCGTGTGAGGTATGTTGTTTGTGTACCTTGGACTTCACGTTTCCTTTGTTGTTTTGTCGTGGTGTTTATCAGTATAATAAACATGTACGCATATCACGCTGCGCCTTGGTCTGACCCGTCTGTAAACGAACGTGACACTTCTTGATTGATTACAGCATGATGAGGTGGGGTTTATGTATGTTTGAAAGATTAAGTATGGACCTGTCATGTCCAACAATCAATCTTCAGGTCAAGCCCGGGAGAGCTGGGGTTGAACAGAGTTTAAACTGAACATTTAGTAAAGACAGAATGCACTTTAAACTTCACACAATGTAAAAATGTTCAGTAGGAGTAGGAAAAAAGGTGCTTGTGCACTGATAAGCACACCAAGCACAACAAAGACAGCATTAACGACAAGTAATAAAATAAAGACGGCACTTCTAAAAGCCTATTTCACACCATAGCCTGCTGAATTTGCAAGATAACTTTTCTTTCGTTTTGATTTTAGTGCAAAAAAAAATGCAGCACTGTCTCACCCATGCACGTGCAGTTACAAGCCTGCTAGAGTTCAGTTAGAGGCAGGCAGACAAGCAATATCCACCAGCGTAGTACGGATAAGCTGGAATGTGAAACTAACTGAAGCTGGTTAGCTTTAAAAACCCTGAGTAGATCTATCTTGCTTCGTAGGATATCCCTCTGGACAAACTATCCACCTATACAACTATTGTCACTTTGAATGGTGGCTAAAGGGCAGGATAGACAGACTGATAGACTATATTGACCTGTGGTATAGTTAGCGTGTGGAAAAGCGTAGTGCATATGGCAGGGCTATTCAACTATATTCTTACAGGGACCAGATGTAAAAAAAGGTTAATTGCAGGGGGGCCGGACATTTTCCACATGCGATTATTCTTTGGAAGAACTGTATTAAAAAGCAATGCACACACACCAATAAAGCAGTTTTCTTACAATGAAATGTTGCTAAAAGTAACTAGGAAAGAAGTGGAGGGCCCTCAGCCAACGTGAGTCGAGGTGCAACCCCACCAAAAATTGTAGCTTTAAGGAATGGGCTCATAATATTTTGTAGCATAAACCATTCAAACGGTAGAGCCAAATTCATATAAAGAAACAATTATCAACATGCCACATAGGCGCTAGAAACGGATAGAAACCACACTATAGACAACTACAATAGTGCTCGTCATTTTGTCACTGAAAGTCGGATTTTAGCAGGGATTTTTTTGCAGATATTTTATTAATGGTCAAAGGGCCAGTCTATATTAATAAACGGGCCGGATCTGCCGGATCTGGCACGCAGGCCGCCAGTTGAATAGCCTTGGCATAAGGGAAGTACTAAAACACCTTGAAATAAAAATAAAATATAGGGGAGGCGCATGCAAGCAGATGAGGAAATTTGGCTAGGATGGAAGAAATGATATAGTAAAACCTGCAAAAGGGTGAATGCACTACCCTCCCCTGTGCCCAATAAAAAAAACACACAACCCTCCCCTATTTGGGACCACCAGACTAAATTTCAAACTGTACCTAAAGTCGAAATGTAACTTGCTCTATTGACATCAATTCATGACTGAGCAAATATTAGACTTAAGTGGAAGTAAGGATTTGACCGTCTGTCCAGGCCAGTATTATAAAGCACCTGTACAGCGTGAGCTCCCCCCCAGGTCCTGGACATAGTGACGGGGGCAGGAAGGAGAAGGTCCCATTGTATCCGGTACAGAAGACTACTGCATCAATGTCCTCCTCCGCGGTTCCATCCTGGAACAGCAGTCTGGACCCCTGGAACCCTCTCAGGTCTGGCTTCAGCACTACTGCCCCCTGCAGTATACGGCCTGGGAGGTCATCGTTGATCAGCGGCTTCCGCTCTAGCAGCCTGGGAGGACAGAGAGAGAGAGAAATGAGAGATCGTTTTTTCTTAGTTTTTCATATTTTCAAATGTTGCCATAGTGCATTTGCATATTTGTCACACCTATGTTTCGGGCTGTAGTAGGGTGCTGGTCACCGGTGTGTTGGCTGTAGTAGGGTGCTGGTCACCGGTGTGTTGGCTGTAGTAGGGTGCTGGTCATCTGTGTGTGGGCTGTAATATGGTGCTGGTCACCTGTATGTGGGCTGTAGTAGGGTGCTGGTCACCTGTATATGGGCTGTAGTAGGGTGCTGGTCACCTGTGTGTGGGCTGTAGTAGGGTGCTGGTCACCTGTGTGTGGGCTGTAATATGGTGCTGGTCACCTGTGTGTGGGCTGTAATATGGTGCTGGTCACCTGTGTGTGGGCTATAGTAGGGTGCTGGTCACCTGTGTGTGGGCTGTAATATGGTGCTGGTCACCTGTGTGTGGGCTGTAATATGGTGCTGGTCACCTGTGTGTGGGCTGTAGTAGGGTGCTGGTCACCAGTGTGTGGGCTGTAGTGGGGTGCTGGTCACCTGTGTGTGGGCTGTAGGCCGTAGAGGCGGTGGTCGTATCGGTGATTAAGGGTTCTCTCTGCAGCCCAGTTGACCAGCGCTCTGGGCAGCAGGGAGGTCAGCAGGGCGGTGAGCCGCGAGATGGCCATCATGTCCAGAGGGAGACCGCTACTGGACATACGAGCTATCACCCACGCCCCCTTACGGGTACTCAGGAAGGTCTAGGGGGGTGGGATGTAAGAAAGAAAGGGAAATGGGAGAACAGAGAAATAGAGAGACAGACATGAATGGCCAAACTCTCTTTATAGTATGAGAACCACTGGGTTTGAACCTGGGTCGCTTTTGTACCTCAAGAAAGTATTAGCTTAAATATGTCCTCCTGTGACAGGTGAGCCCCACCTTCTCTGCAGCCCGGCTGATCTCCACAGCGATGTCCCCTCCAGAGTTCCCGATCCCCACCACCACCACCCTCTTCCCCCGGAATGCATCAGCATCCTTATACGCCCAGCTGTGTAGGCAGCGGCCAGGGAACGACTCATGGCCTGCATGGGAAACAACACTCAGGTGGTTGAAGAGGTATTGTACCTGTTGGCTACACACATCCAAAACACTTCACAGATGTAAACATATGCCATAGAAAAAAGGGGGGGGGAAAAACACACACAGGCTTGACGAGGACCTTATGGTCAAAACGTTGACACTTCTATGGGTGTATCAAAACTGTATATAGAGTATAGTGTATAAATAGTGTTTAGATTGTTTATAGATAGTGTATAGTGTTTAGATGCTTTAAACTGACCTGGGAACTGGTCTAGCGGTGAGACAGGGTGTGTGTAGTGTCCTGAACACACCAGGACCCCGTCAAAGACATGTCTCTCCTCCTGTCCCTCTCTGTTCTCTGTCACCACCTCCCACTGGCCTGAACGACTGAAGTCTGGCCTCTGTCTCACGGTCAGCACGCTGGTCTGAAACACACACACAGTAACAGATCATAGAAAGTCGTGTAGAGTCTAAATGACTTGGACAGGTCCTTCATCAGGGGAAGGAGGAGAAGAGAGAGGGAGAGAGAGAGAGGAGAGATAAAAGACGAGAAAAGACGAGAGAGAGTAGTGACCTGGAAGGTGATGTGTCTGAGGAGGTCAAAGTGTTGAGCGTAGAGCCTGAAGTACTGCAGCAGCTGGGAGTGCAGCATGTAGTTGGGGTAGTCAGCTGGCATAGGGAAGTCACTGAAACACATCATCTCCTTGGAGGTGTTCACCACCAGGGAGCGGTAGATACTAGAGCGGCCCGGCTCAGGGGTTTCCTGTGGACACACAGACACAAGGGTATGTCTGAAATGACACTATTTCCTATAAAGGGCCTTTTTTTCCTCCCATAGGGCTCTGGTCAAAAGTTGTGCCCTATACCCTGAGTAAGGTGTCATTCCAGATGCACCCAGGAACACTGTTGGTGATGCACAGTTACGAGGGGTGCATCTCTATAGTCCAAAATGGCTTCCTTTCCTCGTCTCCTCACCTTGAACCTCCACAGCCCCCCGATGTCATCACTGCTCTCAAAGCAGGTGGGCTCCAGACCCTCATCCAGACAGCTCTTGATGCTGGTCAGACCTGAGGGACCCGCCCCGATCACTGCCACACGTCGGGTCATACTACCTGACGGTCTGTCTTTCTGCAGAGGATTGGAGACACAATAGAAGGCTGATGTGAGAGACGCTCTAATTCAGTTTCCACTGACTGAGCCTACAGAGAAACCATTGCATCACCCCATTGATCCCTCTTATCTTTCCTCCGTCTGCAGTGGCAGGTTAAACCAACAAATGCCCAACTCACTCTACCAACAGAATCACTCCTGAATTTTTTTAAATATAATTTAATAAACCTGAATACGAATGTAAACTCATCAAAATCAGTTGACTCTCAACCAGCGACTGTACTCACCTGCTCCATAGACTTTGCTCCCTCTCGGCTGGAGTAGTTTTGACTGGAACTGTGTCAAATGCAGGTCATCGTTTGGTGCTCTGTGTCATTTCCCCAGGTTAGATTAAGGGAGGCATTCTTGGAATTACTGTATCTGTAGTCAGACACCCGTCTGGTCCCCAGGCAAATATTTCCAAATGGATTCTTGGAATAACTGGATCTGTAATCTGTAGTTAGACATTCTTTTAGGTCAAACTTTCTAATTCCTTGAGGATTTTAACTTTTCCCTGAGCTGATAGCCCTGTCCTGCACACAGACTCTAAGCAGCATATTAGCAGAGAAAGTTCATAAATCAGGAAGTGAACCAAAAGCAGGGTAGGGGAGTGTCCTAAAGGTTAACCCTTTACTGACACACATAAACCCTGAGGGTTGTTACTAGCCTACAGAGATCAATTTAATCTACTTGAGGGGAACACCTGAAATTCATTTACATGAGGATGAACTCATCTAACCATCCACAATGTTGCCTTTAACTGGTTTTGACAGAATCCTCTAGAAGGGGTGGACATGTAAGATAAAGTGCTGACAGCATGGAGTTATAATTGATTTATTAATTTTTCTTTCCACACAGAAACATTGGGAATATCTTTATGGGATTAAAGATGAGGTGAAGTGGCATTAAAGGCATGCTCTGGTACTTTGGCAACTAAGAAAGTATTTTTTAAACCTCTCGCTTTGGGCTGGATGTGTCACTGTGTAGTTCATACATGTATAATCTATGAGCAGAATTACAGTTTTACCTCAATTAGACACGAAATTCCTAGTTTGAAAGCAACTGTTTTCTTGAAGCTGTGCCGCACCATTTTCCCTACTTTTCCCCCCACTTGGGCCAGCGCCCTAGCAATTTGGGTTCTAGCCTCGCATTTGAGTGACAGCTAGCAAGAGGCCTGCCCAGCGTTATCCAAAGAGGTTACAGGGCGGTCCCAACGGCTCAGTGGACACAGCAGAGAGAGAGAGAGCAATGACGTGGTGCAAATATATGCACATATGTGATGTAGTACGCAATTGTCAGGGACCACTTTTGGATCCTTACTTTCACTTTCAGAACTACTGGCTAAAAAGTATAGAAGTACCGAAGAATCTCTTCAAAGGTTTGTCTTTCTACCCAGTTCTCATATACAAATATCATACACACATTCCATTTCCAGTATACTCTTTGATAGTCTTGACTCCAATAATAAACTTCTCAGCAAATGTTTGTAGATCATGTAGTACAGGAGAGGAAGGGGGAGGGGGTGGTTGTGTCTGGTGGTATTCAGGCTCTCTGTGTGTTGTTGAGAGAGGAGAGGAGGCAGTGGAGGAGGGGTGGAGGTGTGGGTGGACGTTGTAGGGTTCGGGTGAGAGGAGTGTGGAGGGTGGTGTTAAAGCTTTCTGGGTGGTGGCGGTAGAGAGGGGGTATAGGTTGAGCTAATAGGGTTAGAGTGAGAGGAGGGTGGTGTTCAGGCTGTCCTCGGCTGAGGTTGGAGAGAAGGTAGGTGAGGGAGAAAGGGGGATAGGGGTTGAGGTAATAGGGTGAGGGTGAGGGTAGGCTTGGGTGTACAGGGATATTTGGAAATAGCCAGGGGATGGTTTTTCAATACCGTCAACACCATTGAAACTATTTATTTGATGTTTCAATGAATGTTAATATTTGTAGATACTTTTTATGTAAATACCTGCAGTCAACTTGTGCAATACGTTAGGAGATAATGCAGATCATGTTCTTCATTTCACCTGTCACATTATTTTACATCATGAAGCTTACCGTAGTTCCCCAGAACAGTTGAACCATGTGTTTGTTTGTAAATAGCACAACTGGAGAAAACGGGAGCAGTGTATTGAGTGGGGTCGCTGTCACGGACGTTGAAGGACGGGTCAGACCAAGGCGCAGCGTGAAATGCATACATGTTTATTACAAAGAATTAACACACGAACAAAAACAACAAAACAACGTAACGTGAAGTCCTCAGGCACGGCACAACACAACTAATGAGTGCCAACAGGCTACTAAAGTATGATCCCCAATCAGAGAAAACGAGCGACAGCTGCCTCTGATTGGGAATCACACCCGGCCAAACATAGAAATACACAACCTAGAATGCAACATAGAAATACTAACATAGATATCCACACCCTGACTCAACATACTAGAGTCCCATAAGTCAGGGCGTGACAGTACCCCCCCCCCCCCCCAAAGGTGCGGACTCCGACCGCACAAACCTTACATAACAGGGTAGGGTCCGGGTGGGCATTCTGCCTCGGAGGCGGATCCGGCTCCGGGCGTGACGACCACATTCTCTCAGCCTCCCCGTTGCGCCCCTGGTCTGGTCTGGACCTCGGCGCGCTGCTTCCCCTCTCCTTCCTCCCATGATGTACCAAGCCCTGTCTGGACCCTGGTGTGGGAGACCCCGAACCTGGAGAGGGGCTGACGTCTGGGTCTGGACTGGAGCCGCTGACCGGAGCTGAACTGGGCTCCGGTGGAGCGGACTGCTCTGGCTCCGGACTGGAGCCGCTGACCAGAGCTGGACTGGGCACCGGTGGAGTGGACTGCTCTGGCTCCGGAGTGGAGCCGCTGACCGGAGCTGGACTGGGCACCGGTGGAGCGGATTGCTCTGGCTCCGGAGTGGAGCAGCTGACCGGAGCTGGACTGGACCCCGGTGCAGCGGACTGCTCTGGCTCCGGAGTGGATACGCTGACCGGAGCTGGACTAGGCACCGATGGAGCGGACTGCTCTGGCTCCAGAGTGGAGCAGCTGACCGGTGCCGGACTAGGCACCGGTGGAACGGGCACGGGCCGTGCCGGACTGGACACACGCACCACTGGTCTGGTGCGAGGAGCAGGCACGGGCCGGTCCGGACTAGGAACACGCACCACTGGCTTGGTGCTAGGAGCCAGAACGGGCCGGGCCGGACTGGGAACACACACCACTGGTCTGGTGCGAGGAACAGGAACGGGCAGGGCCGGACTGGGAACACGCACCACTAGTCTGGTGCGAGGAGCAGGAACGGGCCGGACTGGGGACACGCACCACTGGCTTGGTGCGGGGAGCAGGCACGGGCCGGGCCGGACTGGCGACACGCACCACTGGCTTGGTGCGGGGAGCAGGCACGGGCCGTACCGGACTGTGGAGGCGGACTGGAGGTCTGGAGCGGAGAGCTGGCACAACCCGTCCTGGCTGGATGCCCACTTTTGCACGGCACGTGCGTGGTGCTAGCACAGGATGCACTGGACTGTGCCGGCGCACTGGCGACACAGTGTGTAGCTCCGCATAACAAGGAGCCTGCACGGTCACACGCTTCCTAGCGTGAGTACGGGGAGTTGGCTCTGCTCTGAACCCAGGCTCCGCCAACCACCCCGTGTGCCCCCCCAAAAAATTATCTTGGGGCTGCTTCTCAGGCTTTCGTCGTAACCGCGTCCTCTTGGGTCGCCGTTTCTCCTCTCCTGCCTGGGCTTCCTCCTTCGCCCAGGGTCCTCTACCGGCTACTCTCTCCTTCTCCACCCTCATTCCTTTCAGGGCCTCCATCTCTTATCTCACCCCAAGTCCATGATCTCTGCTCCACAACCTGCGTCCAGGGTATCTGCTGCTCCTGGGCACACTGCTTGGTCCGTGTTTGGTGGGATCTTCTGTCACGGACGTTGAAGGACGGGTCAGACCAAGGCGCAGCGTGAAATGGATACATGTTTATTACAAAGAATAAACACACGAACAAAACAATGTAACGTGAAGTCCTCAGGTACAATACAATGCAACACAACTAATGAGTGCCAACAGGCTACTAAAGTATGATCCCCAATCAGAGACAACGAGCGACAGCTGCCTCTGATTGGGAATCACACCCGGCCAAACATAGAAATACACAACCTAGAATGCAACATAGAAATACTAACATAGATATCCACACCCTGACTCAACATACTAGAGTCCCATAAGTCAGGACGTGACAGTCGCGTTTTATATTGAAAGTCAACAGTGTCTTTTTTGCTTCAACAGACTGATCAGGGATGTGCAACAACAGTTTTCCTTCACAGAAAATACATTAGTGCAAGACATTTGTCTGAAAATAGCTTCATTTTCATCAGATGACAACAGAAGTGCAACGCTATTTGGCTGGCAACCACACAAGTAAATTAGCTTACAATGAAAAAGCATGGGCTTTTTTTGCTAAAATGATGCAAGGCCATTATATTTCTAATGTTTATCATAGAAAGAATGTAGCCAGCTACATTTCCTAATGTTTGGTTTAAAGGTAATCTTGCATTTTACCAAGTAGGCTGGCTACACCGAGAAAAGTACGTAGAGGTCGCATTAGTGCAGAATTCTGTGTTTTTCACGCATACATTTTTTATAGAACGCGTAAGAAATGTCTTGCTGCGTTTATAAACACAACTCTAAAATGCTTCTTATTGTAATTTCTGCTCAGCATCAGACTAATAATGTGCTCCAGTTACACTTCTCCACTTGGATGAGAATACACCTTATTCAGACACCTTGACTTTTTCCACATTTTGTTACATTACAGCCTTATTCTAAAATGGATGAAATAAATAAAAATCTCAGCAATCTACACACAATACCCCATAATGACAAAGTGAAAACATGTTTAGACATTTTTGCAAATGTATTCAAAATAAAAAACAGAAATACCTTACTTACATAAGTATTCAGACCCTTTGCTATGAGACTCGAAATTGAGCTTAGGTACATCCTGTTTCCATTGATCATCCTTGAGATGTTTCTAC